TTATTATTATATATTATTTATTATATATATATATATATATATATATATATATATATATATATATATATATATATATATATATATATATATATATATATATATATATATATATATATATATATATATATATATATATATATATATAGTAGTACATAATGATATTAATTATACATTTAATACATATATGCGTATGTTTATGCGTACTTATTTATGTATGTGTGTAGATGCATTATTCGCGAAATATATAAAATACATTTTTTGGTATATTATATTATAAAAGAAATGTAAGCGATTAATGGAGCGAAACATTCCACATAAACTCTGCAGAACGATATTTTCTATGTGACATATGTTTTTTTACGATCATGCCGCAATCTTTTCATTATAGAAAGAACAATAACAAATCCATTTCTAAATCAAAGCAGTAAAAGTCTACGAAACATACAAATTTCTTTATCAATATAACATTAAAATAATATAATAATAGTAAATATAGTAAAACGTTTTTATTTTACCAATTAGATCCTTTTTCCCTCAATGCCTTCCCCAATATTCACCATCCCTCTTACAATGTAAGTCCTTTCTCTTGTAATTACTAGTCCCCAATGTATGTTATCGTAACTTTCATAACTGCTTTCGTAACTCAAGACAGAGACGCATTAAAGACAACGCGTTTTGTGCACGTGATGCCGCGCCACGAGGACTATTGTCGCACAAAATGCAGCCAATATGAATCCATTTTATAGTGCACGATCACGAAATGTTACGGCACGTATTTTCAAAAAGGTTGTTCGATCTCTTGTACTTTATTTAGCATAAATGTAGAAAAAGATTGGGCATTCTTTGTCCTTCAGTTATATCTCACGTTTGAAGCGTTCGGATCAACGTCTGAGAAATGTAGATTTTTCGGATTTTATCATCAATTCCCATATAAAATCCCGTCTAAATCGGGCTGTGACTTATTGCACAGACTTGGCTTGTATTCAGGTGAACATCTCATTTTCCAGATACGTCCTATCTCCAATTCGGAGATCTTAATGTACAAGCTGCAAGAGGCCGCGGCATTTTTCGACTTAACTTTATTCGGCATCGTTGACATACGATTCCCCTTCGCTTCCTCCTCGATTTCGTCAACGATTTTCGCTGACATTTATCGTCGTGATAAACACGGCGACTCGGCCTGTTTCACTGCGCATCCCGGCGTGCGATTCACCCCTCGCGTCCCCCTTCACCCCCGACGCCGCACTGTCATCGGCGTCGCGACGCAGGGAAAGGCACAGCCTCCTGCACTCTCCCAGATCGATCCGTCTGGCCGACAAAGCAAAATCGCCAGGAAGTCTCCGAGGCCAGAGTCTGCTATGTCAACGAGGAACGGCACGTGCAACGTCGATCGCTATGCCAAGCTACCGGGGATCCATATTCGGTATGAGTAGTCCGATATGTGATTAATCATTAGCAATCATAAGCGCAACTCTAACCTCGGGGCTTGTCCGTTAGTGAGTGGAAATTGATTCTCGTGTGTTCGGATATACATATCCTTCCCTTCTCACCAGTCAACCCACAACTTTAATAAACAATTCGAAACCGATATTTTCAATTGCTCTTGCCTTCTGCGAGTGAGTCGTCAAATGAGTCGTCAAATTTTAACTCGGATCAATCACGCAGATTGTGTTTTCGAATGATATCACAAGGGTAGAAAATTTTCATCCGGATCTTTATTAAATTAACGCGTTAACTCTTGTCACATCTCTCTTATGATTTTGGCTGCAATGACATAATCACGCAAATGGACTATATTAAGTCGGATGCCACGTTGGCGTGTATCGTATAGTTAAGACTTTCAATTTTTTTTCCCATTGCAGGCATTGAATTACGATTTACTTATGCAGGATTAAAATAATTTTGATATATTAATTTTATCATATGAGGTGACATATTCAAAAGCTAATTTACTTTTCTATGTTGCAAGAGAAAGATCTTTGGTTTCTAATG